GATATGACGGTTGGCTTCACTTAGACGTGGCATTTTGTGTTCGTCAACAATCTTCCAAATACAGTGAATAATCGACAGACAGCGATCAACCTTTTATACCCATCATTGAGACTATCTGATCCCCAACTTTCACGTGCATTGCATGTGAATTGTGTATTCTGTGACACTACACGCCGAAATTGAAAATCATGCTGTTAAATACGGGTATTTTACTGATGGTGCGTTTGTTGTGATGTTTCAAAACATAAACACCATAGGACTCATAAACAGAGCAAAACCTTTTGTAAACTGAATCACGTTTTAATTCATTGCTACATGAAATTGCTATTTTCATGATGCGTTTCTTTTTGGGGAGAGTATATATTGAGTAGTGTTTCCAAACTTGAATCAGGTAGGTGTTTCAGAAGCTGACACTGAAGAGCATCAGCTTCTGCCGCAGTGTCGTAAACCTGCCCTAGGCCGGTACGTAGTTCATGGAGAGAAAACGTTTCATTGTAATCCTCACCATTCAGAGTTAAAATTGACTGAATTGTTTTCTTCTTTTTTTCTTTTCTTTTTTTGCGTGTATTTCTGGAACTGAAGGTTATAGTTTGATGATGAGGAGTGGTTTGCCAAAGTGTCGCCAAGTTTGTTTGCAGTTTTTCATTTTAACAACATTCAGTTTATGCACAGTAGGGTGTTTTCGGAAATATTTTCCTGCCTTCTTCCTATTTTTCTAGCTTGTTTACAGTTTGTATCAAACCATGGTTTGCGTATGTGCGGATTTGCAGAGGACTTAGGAATGGTTTTGTCTCCATTTGGCATTTAGGACGTCTGGAAATAGTTCCATGGGATCAGGAACATTCCTGAAATTGTCAGGTTTAAGTTTTTCAGAGCACAGGGTTTGCAAATATGGCCAGTTGGCCTTAATAAAATTCCACCTTGTTGAAGGTAAGAGTAAGAATTGTTCGGAAGTGGTCGCTTCCACAAAGGTCATCATGGACCAACCATTCAAACTCGTTTAAAAGATAAGATTCTGTAAGTGAAGGATCAAGAGCAGAGTATGTTCCAGTGGCAGGATGGAGATAAATATTTGATCCATCGTTGAAGAAGCATAGATCATTATTTGAGAGAAAATCTTCAAGGACCTTTCCCTTGTTGTTTGTATCAGTACTCCCCCATAGGGGGTTATGGCGGATGGTTTGAAGTCTGTATTTTCTGTTCTTTCCTATTTTGGCACACAGTTCTGTTTCTGACATTGGCATTGGTTCTGGTGATTCTGATTCAGAGGTTTTGACTTTTGGTTTTATAGATGAAGTGGCTGAGATGGGCTGTGAAGATTTGACCCATGTCAGATCGGTCTGACACGAGACAGTTGCAGTAGTGATAGAAGGACGGGAGACAGCAGAAGAGTAAGCGGAAAAGCATGCAGTATTGATCACTATAAAAAAGGCAAACATTGTTCGTAATTTTGTGATTCGATTTTGCCTGGAAAAGAGGAAATCATCATGCCACGACTGCATGCCACCAATGGAAACATCGCCATAGGCCGCCGAGAAGCTGGGGAGTCGCAGTCTGCAGCTGTCCAACATTGCAACGTTCATCAGAGCACCATATCAGACTGCACAATGCATTCCTTGGTTTGAGACTAATTTCCGACCAAACTGTCAGGAATCGATTGCGTTAAGTGAGGATTCGACCAAGAAGGCCCGTTATCGCTCCTGTTTTGAGAGATTTCCATCAGTGCAATCGTTGCGATGGTGTCGTAGAGTCCGGAACTGGAACCTTAGAAACTGGAGGCAAGCCTAGCTCAGTGATGAATCACGATTTCTTCTTTACCGGTGGGAGACATGGTGAAGATGTAAGACAGCGTGTTTACTGTTGGAGAAATGAACGTTTTGCCCCTAAGTGCATTAGACGGTTGGCAGATTCGAATGAAAGAGTGTCATTGTGTGGAGTGCGATATCCAGCACACACAGATCTGATTTTGTGGTGGTTCAGGGGGAATTTGACAGGAAATTGGTTCTCCTTTCTTCCATCCCATAATATTTTAAATTCAGTTATGAAATCGGTAATTGAACCCGGTTTGAAATCAGACCACTAGGCAATATCAGTGACATTCAAACAACATGTCGCAATGTGTTCAACGACTGATTTATTTTGTATTGTCATTGTTGCATTCTCTGTATAACCAAGCTTGACTTGAACCCTACCCTGCATGTTGGAGCCCATGTGAAACTGTAAACATGGTATGAAAAATATATAAAAAGTTATAAAAAAGCAATAATAAGATAATGAAGACATAAGCCTATTGCATAAACTCGACAAGTATATGTTTGACGAGTGGTCTTTGATTTCATGACCTGCTAAACAAATGCAAATTTGGAGGCTGATTGACACATAAATGTCAAACGTTGATCATATGGTCCTCGGATGATGCGTTTATTTCCTCACATAAATATAGGAAATACTGCCATGAATACAGCCCAAACTGTACAGGACTTTCTGAAAGTTTATAACGTCAACGTAGTGGCTTGGCCGGCACATTCCCCAGACATGTCGCCTCAGAACACCTCTGTGATGTCATGGATGGTTGTGTTCGACAGCGACCACATCCTTCCAAAGACAAGAACTGATTCAGGCCCTCCAAAACGAATAACTACTTCACAGTCGCTGATTCTGACACAGAATGATGGTTGAGTTTTTGTAAGCTGCTTGTTTGATCCGAGAGTTAAGAATTCAGTTTTGCTGTCGTTCAGCTTGAGGTAGTTAAGAGCCATCCATGCTGTTATATCGGCAATACGGCAATACAAGCTTCCAGTTGTGATCGATCTGGAAGATAACTCTTGATTCATGAGAGTGCTGATCCAGTGATTGCCGAGACTGATCTCAAGTTTTGTGAATAATATGGCTTGATCTACTGTGTCAAATGCAGACGAGAGATCTAGGTGCACAAACAGTGTTAGTTTTTTGGCAATCCATTGTTCTCAAAATGTCATTGTGGACTCTCACTAGTGCTGTCTCAGGGCTGTTTAACTTCTATACGCTGACTGAAAAGGTTCTGGTGGGTTGTTCTCATCCAAGTGTTGAATGAGCTGCTGAGATACAATCCTTTCTTGAGTTTTCGAGATAATGCTTAGATTGGAAACAGACCTATCATTTTTTGGAATATTCCTATCCAAGTTAAGCTTTTTCAGCAAAGGTGTGACTGCGGGTTTCATGAAACAGTTGGGCAAAATACCAGATTCCAGAGAGTAATTCCCAATATCCAAGAGTGGTTCTAGGTCACTGTCCATGATTGACTTCAGCAGCCACGTTGGAATGGCATCAAGAGAAGAGGATTTGTCTTAGACTTCTGAATCATATCCTTGAGATGATTCGAGCAAGTTGCCGTGAAAGATGTAAAAAAGCTACCATGAAAACATTTTTCCACAAACAATTGTTCAAACTAAGTACAATTTGTTTCAAGATCTTCCCTGATGTCATGAATCTTCTCATAAAAGTAGTCAGAAAACAGTTGAGCCAATTCCTTTAAGTCATTGTTCAACACCCCCCATATATCTACCATAACTAATGAATTTTACTTTTCCAATAACATCCATTTGTCGAACAAATCAAATTTCTAGAACGGACACAAATTTAGAATACCTTGGACAATTTACAATTCAAACGTTAGAAATGAAACATTTTCCTTAAAGAACAAAAGGCAACAGGACATTTTTCGATTTCAATTTTTACGCAAGTTCAGCATATATAAGAAAATATTGACACTTATATGTTTGAAGGATATACAAATAGATAATGAAAATACAATACGAATCCTTGCTCTGTGTGTAATTTCATTTCCTTCCATGGCCATATACAGATATCAGCGTCCATTGAACTGTGTATTGCAGAGGTTAAAACATAGTCGGGCCTTTATCTTGAACACGCGCGTTTCTTGGATTATTGTCCGCAGACTCTTTACAAGACGCTGCAGCGTAGGTAGAATCGAACTTGATACGGTTCAAACTGTATTAATAAAACAAACAATTATTAAAATACAGCTGAACAATTTCCAATGCTAAATCAATATCTTGACTACTCAGATAAATGCAATGTATCTGTAAATATAACGAAAGTATGAAACACGAACCCACGTGCCTGACATGACAACACTGAAATTATTCTAAACTCATATAAGTTCATCACCCTTTACAGGCTTTGTGACCCTATCAACAATGTTCATCAATATAAATAATAATGATCAACTACTTTAAAATTTTCTTGGCCCCTTGCCCCTCTACAAAAATGAATCACCGCAGTGACACCAGCCACGTGCTCTAGTCGACCTCAGTCGCCCGGATCAAAACTACCGGCCGGGACCACTTAAAATCCGGAACCTTACCCGCGGCAACGAAAATAAAGCCCGGATCAGTTTACCGGTAAAAAACAAATTAATTTTTATCCTGAACACTGTGTGACAGGGCAATGCTCCTGAGACCGGGGTGATAATATAAACAAAAAGACAATGACATAAAAGTTCACATTTGTATGATAATTAGTTTACGGGAGGCAACGTAAAGTGGTCGAACCTGAATGCCACAGGCGGTGTTCTCTGAACCGAATAAGCAGGGGATATGCAAGCTTGTTAATAAAGCAAATGTATACTTTGAAGTACATTTAGAAGTGATGAACAAGAATCTAAGATCTTTCAGCTATCAACTTCTTTATTTGTTAAACACTTCTTCAGAGTTAATTCTCATTCTATCTTCACATGGAGGAGTAAGGGTTAACTCCAAAACGTCATGTATTACAAAATGAAAACTTAAATTCCAACAAAACTTTGACTTAACACTATATGTGACATCAAATGTATGCTATTTTCAAAGTGTGTACATCTTCAGGTGATATTTCATTAGATACAGTTTTACTACACATACTACACAAAAGCAAAAATAAAAAAAGAATAGTATTTCAATGAATCAGTTCTTGATTTAGACAGGTAAACCAAGAAACAAGAAACCAGGGCTGACACGTCTTCAATCAGAAAATAGTTTCCCGTTGAGAGGTTCCAGGACTGCACTAAAATCAGAAGAAGTAAAATCGATCACACGCATGCCAGAGATGGACTCGCGTTTTTCAATGATTCCCTTAAATATGTCCCGTATGTGCAGCATGTGGTCGAGAGTGTACACACGTCTTGGTATCTGTATCCGGAGAATATGCTGGGATTTCGGATTTTCTCGTTCATTGCTCTCGTCAAGCTTCAAGATGTCATCCACCTGGCTACATATGATGCCACCAATGACATACAAGGCACAGTGGAGAGCAAAGGCGGGATACTGGCAAGTTGGGATATGTGGAAGACATTTTGCTCCATTTATGTATATTCCACATCCTATTGGGTCGATGACATGGACGCCGGCTTTCTTCAGAATGTCTCCAAACATGCGAGAGCCTTCAACTCTATACTGTAGAAACTTGTCATCAATGCCCTCCAGTAGGCCAATCGTCATGGCCTCCATATCCCTCCCAGTCAGTCCACCATAGGTCTTGTTTCCTTCTGTATTAAACATCCTGACTGATGCTTTGTTGTAAACATGCTCCTTTTATGTGGCAAGAAACCCTCCTGTGTTGCTAAGACCATCCTTCTTGGCTGACACACAGACATGATCGAAATAGCAGAACATCTTCAGAGCGATGTCTTTACAGGGCATGTTCTTGTATTCCTTGTCACGAGTTTTGATGAAGTAAGCATTTTCTGCATAGCGACACCCATCCATGATCAATGGGACATCAAAGCTGCGACAAATCGTGGACACAACCATTGCACCTTCTGGACCCACTTTCTCCAGTTCCACCTTGAGCCTCTGACAGTCAAGGAGCTATCTGAACTTCCCTGGCATGGAAGATCAACAACATGTAAACCAGCAAGGTCAGCATTTCCACGTGTTGTAAGGTAAATAGAGTTGCTGAACACTGTCATTCCAGGCTTTGACAGAATGGACAATAACAGATGCTCCACCGCCCTTCCCTGGTGAGCGGGAAGCATGAAGTGAAATCCTGTTAGCGATTTCACGTAGTCCTCTAACTTCTTGAAGCTCCGCGAGGAAAAGTAACCCTCATCTGCCTGCATCATTGCTGCCCACTGACCTTGACTCATGGCGCCGGTACCAGAATCATTAGCTAAATCAAAGGTGACGTGACGACCTTCAACTTGGAGTGGAGTCCAACCACAGTCTTCCAATATTTTGATCCGCTCTTCTATAGTGAGTAATTTGAAGGGCTCTACCATCTTAATGCGGAACGGTTCCATGAAAGACATCTGCAACAAAAAATATAATACTTTAATAACATAATAATGTCAAGAGCGACAACATAACATCTGCACTTATGCTTTGTAATGTATTTAATATAACAACAAGCGTATAAACGAGACATGTCTTTATGTAAAGAGATCAAACGTTAATAGCTTGTACCAATCTTGTAAGTCTGAAAGTATAAGTCGGGGTAGTCAGACTTAATGGTTTGGTTGAATTATACTCCAACGGCGTAAGCCATTGCTCCAATCTCTGGTTTGTTTTTTACACACTCGATTATTTCCGTCTAACAGAGAAGTGGTGCAAAACCAATAAAAATGGTAAATCTTTCAATGTTCTTCCTGATACAAATTTAGGTAGGACTGATGGCTCTGTATTTATATACTTATTAATGTTCTCACGCAGTTATATGTTTTATTTGTCTGGGGAGTATATTAGTATGACTTATCCACTCCATTCACTTTTCGACCGACCTTGGTATTGATGTGTAGCTAACCTAGGAAATCTAACATCATGATTTCATTGACGGGTAGTTTGTGTCTTGCGTCTGAATTGTGTAAAGGTAAGTAACTCTGGCACACATATCAGGTATCAGGGGATGGTGGGATAAGCGAGTGGTTAAAGCGTTCGCTCGTCAGACCGAAGGCCCACGTTCGAATTCCCAAAATACAATTCAATATGTGAAGTCTATTTGTGGTGTACCATGTGTAAAATTGCTGGAATATTACTACAATCGGGGTAAATTCACTCATTACTCATGGTACCATAGTTTGTATACATTGAAATGTATGTAGATTAGGATAAATCATACCACCCAAATTGTCCACGAGACAGAGCGTACAGTTTGCTCTGATTGGTGAAACTGTATCTTTATTGGTAAATACTCATGGCTAAGAGTTTGGATTGAATGTTCATGTGTTGTTCCAGAATATATAATTTCTCTCATAGTGACTATGATAAAGGCATGTTTGAAGGAATGTGAACACCCGGCCACGTGTGATTTGTGGGACACTAAGGAAATGTGCAACCATATAGTAAGTGTCAATGCAATAACGTAGTACAATTGGACATTGCATCTACATAATTGGACATTTAGGCACTGGGACATGCAGGGTTAGCGAGTGATTTAACCACCATGGTGGAACAGTGAAATGACCAAACATGGTCTCTGGTGTGCCGAAAAGAGGCACTGCACCTTGGACGACTGGGCCACCCGTTCTTCCGGATTTTGTTTTATACTATGATGATGTTGATTTGGCTATGCATAGACTCGTTAGTCCAGCAAAAAAAGTAAGCCGCCTTGTTTGGTACGCCTGGAACTGAAACTTTCATCAGTTATCTCCTTGCCTCTAAAAATTACCAACTCCCCACCTCCAACTCCCACCCCCGGCCAACCCGTGAACCGCCATATAGTTGGAATGTTTCTGAGTGCGGCGTAACACGACAAAGAGATACGTTTGTTTTAAGGAGTAATGCTGGAGTATTGTCAATCGACGTCTCCATAAACCGTAAACTCTCCTCACTGATGTATAATTTTATCTCTGTTAATAACTTTGGTTGTCAACTCCTATGGATATCTTTTGTTACAAGAATACTTAATACCTGCGGTTTATCAGAGGTTTTCTCAAACCCCCCACAATGTCACCACGTCATGGCTGGTCCTAAAAGTTGAAGCTACTCTAAAAGATCAGTTTTTACAACATTGGCGTAGCTCCATAGAAACTAGTTCTAAAGGTCAATTTTATAAATGTTTTAAAGATAAACTATGTTTTGAAAACTACTTATACTTATCCAGGGATATATATTTTCCTATATTAATACTAAGAACTTGCAACAATAACCTACCAATTGAAACCGGCCGATGGCATTCTATTCAAAAAGAGGAAAGAATATGTAAGCTGTGTAACGCTAACGTTGTTGGGGATGAGTTTCACTATCTCTTAGGTGTGAAACCCTTCTCCAACAGCGAAATACCTATCTCGCAACATATATGTGTGATCTTCAAAAACATTCAATGTTAAAGAAATTATTATGTAATAAAACTACTAAACATCTAAAGAACTTAAAGTCATTTCTGAATGTATTGTTTAAATCGCTTACTAAGTAATATTAAAATGATCATGTCCAGCCACTTGCCATGTATATATTTGTTTACCTATGTATTTATATATTCTCCTGTACCACCGTTGGTTGGTTGAGAAATAAACTTCTCTGTCTGTCTGTCTGTCTGTCACACAGTTTAAAGCTGATAAGTACCCACCAAACCTTATGCCCAACCCGAAGCAAGTGGCATATCAGTTTGGTCCAGAAGTTTGCTGCTCACAACGGACCTACAAAGGGACACCAGAAATGGACTTCTCCACGTTGTATTCATGTGAGGAATCGATTCACCCAACCCGGGTCTTCGACGCCACAAGGTAAGCCCCACATGATGAATGTGAAATTTGTGGACAAAATGTCTGTATGAATGTTTTAATGTATACTGTTGCTGTTACTACTTGCTCCACCAACTCTACAGCAACAGCGATTATTTAAAAGTCAAACTGAAGTATTTGGGTACTCAATTTCTTTTCAGTAAATGAACAGAATGAGATACACAAACTTGGACTTGCTTTAGATGTCGCTGTTAGGCACCACAACTTGCTGTACAGAGTTATGTCCCATTTTTGTCAGGACCTACTGATCATTGGCTTGAACCTAAGAGTATTCTCAATGATAATAAACCCTTTACAAAGCTGTTCACCCAAATGTTACAACGTCTATACCTGCCCTCATTATAACATGCCAGATATGGCAGTCTTGCAAGCAACGTTTTATATGCCTGCCCGTTCTCTCTGCGCCCAGAATCAAGATCTTATCTCAGTTCCCCCAAGTTCATCTCAAACACTTTTGGCATAGATCATTCAAATTTGCAGCACCAACCCTGTGGAACGGTCTTCCCTCTTCCATCAAAAATACTTCATCCTTATTCCAAAGAGGCTTACAAGCTTAATTTTCTATGACGCTCTGGACATATTCTGGACGCTTAAAATAGCTGTGGAATTCCTTGCTTTAATCACGAGTCTTGACATGCATCATCAGAGGACCATCCGATACATACATATGTGCAAATGTACACAAGAAGTACTGTCACGAAGAGCCTCCACATTAATCAATCCCCGACCTCCCGAATTGATTGTCATATCTAAACGATTGAGAGAGGAACGAGGGTTGTGGGCTCTGTTATCAGACATGAATGGTCAGGCGGTCAAGACTTTGTCTTTTTTCGCCCAATCAATTACTCAATCAATCAATTACTACAAGCGTAATTGTCCAGTATTGTTTTAGCTAACCCCATAAATTCATAAAAATATGTCACAATAATGACACACTAAACCAGTGTGTACATGAGGAATGCTGCACATGCTGCATCTTGCCTGGGACATGTTTTTCATATGAATGTGTCAGTGTTGATATATTACATTCTGAGTAAACTTTTGTGGCATTTTAATATTTTAACAGTTAAACAATTGTTTACAATATGTCGCAGGTAGTCTCTTTCATCTCAGATTTATATTTGTTCAGTTTTAGTTTTTAAAACACCGCTACATATGTCTTTTGTTGGAAAATTTACTGCAATCAGTTGATGCAATTGCGTTGGACAATTTGGACATGTTTTCTATTGTACATTTATTTATTTTATCCTTTTAATGAAGACATGATACCATGTTGATACCTCGTATCAACGTTTTCTTATATTCATAATTTATAAACATCCCGTTGTCAGAGGTCGCTGCTTCGTTTCAACCACGGCCTAGGTGTGAACCACTCCATGAATGGGGCCAATGTGTTCTCCGCCAGTGATCTAGCTACGGCTTCTGTTGTAAGCGAGACATTACAAAGAAAGACTGGGCACTGATGGGCTTTTCATAAGTTTAGTGGGAGCGTCTCCGCAGGTCTACTCAATCTGTGTCCAACATTGGTTATTGACCAGGGATGGATTAGGCTATAGTGTTTAGGAAACATTCTTCAGCTAACATAACTAGTTTGTCAACACGGAGACCTTTGAATACGGTTTTGTTTGTTTTGTTTGCTGTTCAACGCGGCACTCGGCAATATTCAAGCTATATGGCGGTGGTCTGTAAATACGCGAGTCTGGACCAGACAATTCAGTACAAACAGACAAACAGCATGAACATCAAACTACGCAACTGGGATACGATGACATGTGTCAACCAAGTCTGCGAGCCTGACCACAGGTTGCTGAAGACCAATTT